AGCTGTGTATGTGCGCAATTAGAAACAAGCTGGCAAGTTTTTAATAGGTGTGAGCTTACCATAGTTGCAGGCCGGGGCGCACACCGAGCGAAGACGAGGTCCGCGCCTCGGTCAAATACACGGGTGTGGGGAGGGTATTCGAGATCCACACGACGGCAGGTTCGTTGGTCAAGCGCCCGGGAGTCCACAGACCCAAGTCCAACCCAGTCTCAGCTCCCGACACTTCTACTCCGTTCCGGTTTTGTTGTGTCTGAACTACGGCGTTCAGATAATTGAAAACGAGTTGACGCGAGAGATGTAGCTCGCTTCGGCAATGTTGGTCATACGTGGAGGATGGTACTTGACTCCTACAGGGTTCGCAGCTTGTAACATTACGAGGTGATCGTATTTCAATGGGAGGGGTACCACTCGGTAGACCAGAGATCCTGTTGGTATGCCCGCTCGAGGCCTCATGGCTAGTTTGTTCACGACTTCCTTGTTTGTAGTATCGGTCGCATGGCACACAGTGCAGCCATCGCACGCTAGCTTCGGATTGCCTGTGTTGGGCGATCTGGATGTGGGCGTTATATTCTGCGGCGGACGTCAACGCAACGTGGCAAGATGAACAAAAATTTGAAGTATCGTGCAATCTCCGACACGAATTGTCCAGGCAGAAGCCCCGTTCAAGGAGCGAGGGGCACACAGTGGCCATCGTACTGTGGTGGTGGAGGAGAGGCTGCCTTTTCCGGCTGATCGCTAAAATATAAGGCCAAGCCTTACGAGAATCACACGCATACGGCTGAAACGGCCCGAAGTGAACTCCGCTCCGCATCCACACGCAGTGATACAATTTGCCCACAGGATCAAACAGGAATCTCGTTCCGTTGAGCCCGAAATGGCAAGCCCAAGATGAAGCGCGTGGGGATGAGTTCTTGGAGGTACCGGCCCAGCCCTGGATATGAGTCTGGTAATGAGGTATGTCTTGGGCTGTTTAAGGCCTTGCGTAGGGTTCTGGGCCCTACAATGACTTTAAGCCAGCCCAAAAAGATTTTTTTCCCTCCTTTAGGCGAAGATTATGATAAGCGTATAAGTTCACATATTCAACTATTTTATTCATACCAGCCGACATGATTGACAAAGTACAGTGCCCTTCTATTCGTCGCCCATTCCAGCTTGGTCTAGTTCGGCAGTTGGGTCCTCTTCCGAGGCATTAGCGTCTGCGCGCCGAAGGAGCTGAAGGATATCGCGCTCTGCGAGGGACGCTGTAACATCTGCGTCGCTCAAATTGGCCTCCGGGTCCCACGGGAAGGGGGCGCCTTTCCAGCCACCGGACTGGTACACGAAGTACAAGAACCGGCGCCAGAGCGGGTCTAGCCCCAGGACCATCGGGTCCCCGACGATGATCAAGAGCGCTTGAGCACGGGTGATCGCGACTTCATGGCGAGTGATAAGCATATACGACTCTTTTATTTACTGAAACGTACCATTCAGTCGCCGTTTGTTCGAGACGAAACCTAGAGTGTGCTTGAGATCGAAGTTCAGGAAATCCTGGTTACTACGGACAGTAGACAAGATGATCACTTGTCGTTCCTGCATATACTCTTTCAATGACACTGTCGTTACTTGAGCATATATGGGGCGTACCTGGCCTTGAAAGTTCTCTACACTACCAACGTCAATGTCATTGGCCCCAATTTCGCGAAGCAGCTGGCGGATTTTCCGGACCTGGGCTCGGTATGGGGTAACAATGCCAATCTGTTTAGTAGTCGCTAGGCATTGAACAGATAAGTCTCTGGAACATAACACCAAAAGTTTGAGTTACCCATGAAAGGTATAAGCCCCTCCACGTATTCTTTCACCAAGGATGCCTCGTGAGGGTTAAAGAACGACGGTGAAGTCGACTCTCGCATATCTTCGCCTGCGCATACGAGGGAATTTGTGTCAATTTGTTCGCAAAGTTCGGCAAAAGGGAAGCGCTCACCGGTAATAGCTTCGAAAATGACCGGGAAACCCGGGGATGCAAGGCGGTTCCAATTGAGGAATGTATTTGTGATATTCGGAGACGCGCAAGGGACAAGCTCGTTCCTATAGAATTGTTCGTTCGGAAACGCCAAGATCGCTTCGTGGCTTCGGAAGTTCTTCAGCAATTTAACAACGCTAACAGATAGACTTGGGTTAGTGGTCGAGCTTGGCTGGGGCGGTGATAAAACAAACGATATTCCTCGCATGACAACTTCATCGTACGCCGGCAGAGACATCAGCCGTTCTAAATAGCTAGTACTCATTCCGAGTTGCCCCGCAACCGGGGATCGAATAACTGGTCCTAGCTGCTTTGGCTGGTGCGCACAAGGATATTGCTCTAAGTATATAGATAATGAAGAACAAGCAATCAAGACTCACGTCACCGCTTAGAATGATGTTGGTGTCCTTGGCGGCTAAAGGTAGAATTGGGATCATCACCTCGGGCTCTGATGCTTGACCCGCCTCGTCGACGAATACATGAGTGAAATGGCCAGGGTTTACACCCCGACCGTAGATCAACGCGGCCGAAGAGCAAGTGGCGACGATAACTCGGTAAGATTTGAGCTCCGCCAGACCTGGCACCTGGAAGGTACGGTTGAAGCGAGAATACTCTAGCAGATCCTCTGGTAGGGTAATTCGTGGGCGCCAAGTTGCGTTCAGCCGAAACAATTCGTTCTTGTCGAGTGCGCGAGTGTTGATCAACCGTTGCGCGATAAGGTCGCTTGCGGAGTTGCTTGGGGCGCAGGCTAGGATCCGTACAGAAGGGTTGTCTAAAAGTTGGCCTATGCATTCAACTATTGTCATTGTTTTCCCGGTTCCTGGTCTAGATCGTGGGTCAGATAAGCAGATGTGCGTAGCATAGATTGAGTTTGTACTTACGGGCCAAAAATAACGAAAGGGGGACTACCAGCCGGAAGTTCGATAACGCGTTTCACAGCTTGGAGTTGTTCATGGTTGCTGTCAAGCAAGCGATTATACACGCTTGCAGTCGGGTCCAAGCCCATCGGTTGAAAGTCGCTGTTGACACGCAGGTCTGCCGGGGTCGGGAATATAAGGTCGGCACGCGGGTTTGGGATGTTGACTGCTTGAAACATTCGGCGGAAAGGAACCGGGTTCAAGATAAAATCGACGTCGTAAAGCGCCGATTGCTGATGCGGAAATGAGGAATGAAACGAAATCCGAACTACCAAGAGTTGAACTTCATGCACCACCCCGCTGAACCAGACACCGTCCGGCTGGCTCTGTGGGTGGACGTTGATCCGATCCCCGGTTAGAACAGAAGGCCTTTGCGTGCATTTTAGTACCCATTGCTCCTATGATAATTATTAACAAGCCGACCTTTTTTCCGCCAATCCCGGAACTTCCAGCCTAGTAGCGAATTTAAACCTCGGCCAGGCTGAAGCGAAGATTATATACTCACTCGTATAAAGAGCCACGCCGGACCAAAGTTACGTCATCCATATGAAACTTGCTAAGGTCAATTCTAGAGCGGATGAGTCCTGGTCAGTTCAGACAACTCTGGTTGCGCATATATATACCCACTTCGCTTGGACGTGTTCGGCATGCACCAGGCTGGACCAATACTTCTTGTACGACTCTTTGACGAGGTTTTCGGGCATGAATTTGGACTTAAAATCGCGGACTTGCTGATCGAGAGAACCTTGGCTCAAAAGTTGTTCGAGGTCGCCGGGAATGGCTGCGGGAGGAAGACGCCTCTTGTACTTTGCCTTTGGGAACACATCCTCTCCCCCCCCAACGACGTGGATTTTGGCGCCTCGTTCCCGAGCGAGACGTGGGCGTCGATATGGTGCAACAGGAGCCAAGAGAGTTAGATCGGAGTTTGCGACAACAGCTCGCAGGGGTCGAGTGATCATGAAAATATCGCCGCCGGCATCACGAAACACGAGCTCCAGCCGATCTTCGAAGCGACCTCTCCCTCCAAGAGGATCGAAACGGACCTGCACCCCCACGCTGCTGTCCAGCTCGACTGAAACTGGAAGCGAAACTGTAGTCACAGTAAAACTAGTATATATGTTGTTAGAAGCGGGCTGACAGGTTTGCAATAGGTGCGAGCTTACCATAGCTGTAGGCCCGGGCGCACACCCAATGATGCCGAGGTTCGCGCCTTGATCAAAGATATGGCCGTGGGGAGGGTATTCGAGATATGTACGACGACAGGGTCGCCCGTAGACTGTGCCGGAGTCCAGACACCCAAATCGAGTCCACTCTCGTCGCCGGACACGTCCACTCCGTTTCGGTTGTGTTGGGTAAGAGCCACGGCGTTTAGATAGTTGAAGATCAGCTGGCGCGAAATGTGTGATTTGGTGCGACAGTGTTGATCATACGTGTGAGGCGCCATAGTAATCTTGCAGGGCTCACAGTTCACTGAATTCGGTGGCGATCGTATTTCAACGGGAGGGGTGTTGTTGCTCGTACCCGAGGTTCTCTTGATATGTCGGCTGGAGGTCTCGTGGCTTGTTTGTCCAAGGCTCCCTTGTATGTAGTACCGAGCGCAGGGTATACAGTGCAACCATCGTAATCCAGCTTCGGCTCGTCGATGCGCGGCAGTTTGGATGTGGGCATTATACGCTGCCACGGACCTCGGTGCAAGACGGCAAACTGAACAAAAGTATGAGCTGTCATGGAGTTGCTGGCATGAATCATCGATGCAAAAGCCCCGTTCAAGGAGTGAAGGGCACAGAGTATCCATCGTGCTGGCGAGGCGGGGCCGGACGATGGGGTGTCCTAGCTAGCCACCAAAGTGTAAAACTGTTTCGTGACAATCACGCGGCAGAGGGACAATGCGATAGAAGATGAACCCGCCCCCGTAGAAATATGGCTTGTAGGAGGGATCCCACGCGAGTCCGGCTGCCTCGTGTTGGAAGTGGCAAGGTCAGGATGAGGCAGCGATAGCCACCGAAAATTCCACGTGGGGGTAGGCTCGGCTCAGCCCGCAGGTGTGCGGCGAATCGGAGGTTCCTCGGCTGACTCAACTACAAGCCCCGCTAGCTCAATCGGTAGAGCGTGAGACTTTTACGAACCAAAGCCTTTTGAGGTCGGACTACCGTATTTGCAATATTACTTACGGAATCTCAAGGCTGCGGGTTCGAGCCCCGCGTGGGGCTGTAGGCTTTTGCTCATGTTTCAAGACGCTTGGACCGATT